ACTTACAAAGACTAAACTGCCCACACTTAAGTGTGGGGCAGAGTGCTCTAATAAAACAGCCACATAAGCAAAGTACTTAACTGACATGAGATTACTAAACTACCCCTATTCGGCTCACTCTAACAATTATGATATTGTAAAAATATTGAGGGGAAGTATTCAGACTTTAGAAGGTCTTTTCTTCCCATGATGATACAGAAGTCATGGATGAGATCATACCAAAAGATCCTGCAATTGTGGATACATCAAACCTCAAGATAATGCTGCCAAGGTCAGGTAAAAACTGGGCTGTATTTATGTTGGATGAGAAGAATCTCAAGGGAAAGACAATTAAGGTCAAAACTGATGGTGTAATCTATGAGATCATTTCAATGAAAGGAAAGGGGAGAAGTTTATAGGAGCATCTAATCCAAAGAGGAAGTGATCAAGGAGGTGTGATTATTTAGCAGGTTGGAGTGTTGCTTTGTTGGTGCTCCGTGCTCCTAAATATTTTTTGATAAATAGTGATTTCATTAAACGGAAGAAGAGGTTCCTTCAAGAGGAGAACTTGTACATGGGACTATGGGAGCAAGAAACAACTTCCTAAAATGATCCTGCTTAAGGCTTCAAATTCTTATATTAACCAATCACTATAACGTTCATTATTTCCAAGGACCACCTCTGACCTCCTCTGTAACAGCCTTCTAAAAAAAATATCCTGCAATTCCTTTTCTTCCATGTTAGCCATCAAAGAACAAATGGTAATAGGTTCCAAAGATTTCTCCCATGTTTGTTAAAACTTCTCATCGGCCATGCTGCCATAAGCATATGATCCATTGTGATCATCCATCATTCCATTGTCAATTGTGTAATTGTAGAAAATGAGCCCAGATGTCAGCAATGTTGCTGCAATTAGATGGACTAATTCTGGGCGTTGACCACAAAGGCAGCAAATGAGAGATTGAAGGTGTTGCCTATAGAACTAGAGCAGGATGGGCAAATGGAAGGGTGCAACTGGAGTCTTATGTGATAAGTGAATACCACTTTGTATAAAAGGAAAATTCTATTTAACAGTTGTAAGGCGAGTTATGTTGTATGGAGAGGAGTGTTCGACAATTAAGAAATAGCGTGTCTAAAAATGTGTGTGGAAAAAATGCAAATGCTTAGATGGATGAGTGATAAGACCAGAAAGGACAGGTTTAGAAATGAATTCACAAGAAGAAACCTAGCCAATAGGTGATTAAAGGAGAGAAAGTTGAGTAAGATGGTTTGGTCATGTGCATAAAAGGCCATCTACAACACCAGTTAGAAAAAGTGATCCGTTACAAGTTTAAGGGGCCAGAAGAGCTAGGGGCAGATAAAAAAGGACAGGGGTGGAAGTAATAAGGTATGATTTGAGTGCCCATAGTTTAACAATGGATATGGCATTGAACAGAATGGATGATGAAACAGGATTCCTGTAGCTATCCCCATCTAGTTGGGACAAAGCTCGCATGATGATGATGAGTCAGGATCCTATCCAGAATAGTTGTCCACATAAAGAAGGATACTTTTGATGGGGCTTGTGCCTTCCAAATCCACTTTCAAGGGAAAGAATTCTAGGTAGGTCCCTCTAAGGCACCGTAGAAAGATCCAATGGAGAACATCCCTAATTTATTTGCCTTTCAAATTCTAGCATCTTGACTTTCCAACTTAATATGACTAATACCCAACTCTTCCAATAGGAGAATTAAGTGATCCACTTCCTAATCATTTTAAGTTATGTTGTAAGAAAGGAATCTAAACAATCTGATCACCAATAACTTCTTACCAATATTTTATAACAACATCCTTGCATTAAGCATTTGTGCATGGTTGACAATTTTGAGAAAGCCAAGACTCAAGGTACTTCTATATTGAGAGTACAATGTTTTCAGGGTTTCTCCTATGCCTTTTAGGTGTTTGGATTGGTATGGAAATCAATCTTTAGTTGTTATGTATACTATTTTGGATGTCCTCACTTGTCTGGCAATCTCATGCAGCTGGGCATTTTTGGGGATTAATAGGGTCTATTGTGCCCTGGCTTTTAAGATTATAATATATAGCATGTTTGGTATTTTTGATGGTCTGTATTGTGTGCTTGAACAACATTTTGTCATTATTTGCTCTCATTTGTCTGTTTTTCCTTCATGGCTTCTAATCTACTACATATTGACCTATTACTAATTGGGAAAAGGAGGGATTGAAAATCTGAACTTCTCATAAGATCTTCATTATGTTTTTTAAGTTTATATTTTAGATTAAATGTTTACTATTATTTGTCTTTGGAAGTAAATGGCATGTGATGAGCTTTTCCATAAGATTAATTCTCTATGCAACACATATATCATTATTCCTAAAATTGATTAACTGAACTTATATAATATTTTATGCAAATTTGCTTTTTAATTCATATGTTAGGTCCGTGAGCATGCTATTCTATTAAATCTTGGGTCATTACGGGCAATTGCCATGAAAGAACGTGTCTACATATTTGACTATAACCGGTAATTCTTGTCCACTACCAGAGAATTATGGAACCTTTCACTGCAGGAATTTTGTTAATTATATCACATATTCCAAAGTAAGCTAACAATACTAAACTTGTCGACTTGTCGTGTCTGCTGGACGTCTGCAGCAAAGGAGGAAAGGCTTTTCTAGAAGTATTGTTGCCACGCCTAAACCCAAAAAACCCAAATGGAGGGCCATCAATGCCATTTGAGCTTGAGGTAAGTTGTTCATATCTTAATTATATGTATATTTGGACTTCAGCTATCATGGATCTATAATGGGATCGGATGCACCTTAATTTTGTCAAATTTGGACCAGGTTAAGATTATGGCCTGACCCATTGGTAGACTTAAATTATTTATCTTATATCAATATCTAATATTATAGCCTGTTAAGTGATGTGAACAAACCAAACTATAAGAGGATCACTAAAATGTGGAACTCAGGTAAACCAGCATATCTGTTTGATCATGTACATGTCATGATATTTTGAGTTGATATCTCATTTTAAATATTTTCTATTTCAATAAACTACTTATTTATGGCATAACTGTATCAATACATGTATCTATCTTTGTATGTGTATATTTTTATTGACTGTAGCATGCCATATTTGTTATGTTAAGATAATAATGGACATAGGTTTCAGTATAACATATATTTAGCAGTATAGCAACTGAAGAATCTCCAGTTCAAATTAACTCATTCATTAGATGCTTGTGTAACCCTCAAATGGCCGGAAGGTCCAAAGCTTGCATGTGTTTTGACAACTATAATTGTAGTTTTAAGGTCCTAACTTTGCATGGTCAAATCAAATGGCTCAACAAAATATACTCCATCTATATAAAGAAAAAGACAAGTTAATGATTTTGAGGCAGTCACTCATCTCTTCTGTGCATTTATCGAAAAAACAAACACATCACTTCTATGCTTTCATTATATGATTTGAAGGGCCTAGTATTAGGAATCAAATATGAGGAGCCCTTACATTTTTATAGAAGTCATTTTTGTTTACTGATCGACTTTTACTATGGTATTTAGGTTGTTGAAGCTGCCTTGCTTTCACGAGTACAGCGTTTGGAGCAGAGACTAATGGCTGTGGAACCTCGTGTGAGTATGGATACATAGTGAGTACATCTTTGTTCTTTTGTTTGGCAGGACTTGTTACCAGGCAGCTTTTAATACTGTATCATTGTATTAAAGCTGACCAAGGTGACCAACCACCTGCTGGACATATGCCCCTTGCTTGTACTGGGGTTCATTTGCACTTATTATACTTGTTTCTGTTTTTCTGTATTGTGAAAGCACTTAATCTAAGTCAAAGACGTTCTATACAAGTTTTTTTTTCTGCTTTAATGATGAGGATGGACTTGAAAATGGGCAATATTTCTTTGAGAATGGAGCATTTTCCCAAATGGAAACCATAGGGTCATTTTGTTTTTTTAATCATTAATAAGCCAATTTTATTTTTTAATATATATTTTTTCCAAGCACCACTCAATTTATTTTTATAAGTAACAAAAAAAGGTTGACAAAATGACCTAGCCTTTTTTAGCTTTTATATTCCATATCTGGTAAGGTTCCTAGAGAAACACTTGCAAAATATAGGTGATTTCTTTGCTCTCATTGTCTGGCTAACTGATCAGCTGATGAGCTGAGCAACTTGGTAATCTTCAAAGTTCAAGCCCAAGTAAGCATTGTCGCCAAGCTTCTCACACCACTACAACCTTGGAGTCTCCGACCTCAATCTTCCTCTAATTGAGTGTGTCCCAGCCTTAGTCCTCACAGTTCCACCATTTTGGAGTCTCCACAGCCAATAGGGCCGGAGAAATGGTTATAATATGTCTACGGTCATTCCTAAAAACTACCCCTCCTGAATCCCCAAAACTACCCAAGCTACACCCATCAAAAGTTCAACTTTAAACAGTTAGGAGAGGAAGATAACCATTCAGTAGAAGCCATGTTTCTTGCTGTAGATGAGGTTGCAATATGTTACTTGCCTATAATAATCTGTTTATAATGGTTGAAAGCTGTCCAGCATCTTTACCTAATGCACCACTTTAAAAGATATCGATTGCAGCCTCCTTGGTATGTGCCTTCTCTTTGAAAAGCTTCCCAGCCTCTAATAATGTAAAAGGGTCCTTTCTTTTTAATAAATTGTCATAGGGTCCTTTTGACTATCATGCTTTTGTAATGTGCCTAGTGTTCTCTCCATCGAAGATTTTGGTCACCCAATGGAAAAACCAACATCCCTGTGCATAAAATAATAAACTGGATGGAAACATGGGCTATGGATAAATGTTTTGTGATTTAACATAATTAATTTACATGATTAATCTTTATGGACTATTGACATTGGAAGGAATTGTGGTTTTGCCTCTTAACGGACAAATTCAGCTAAGAAATCTTGCCTGCAAACTCCAGTTTCAAGGAGCAAGGTTCAATTTTCGCTTCAGGAGTATTTGACATTTATCCTGAAAAGACTTTGGATGATTAATTGGATAAATGATCTTGATATTTGTTAGCCGTTTCTGTCTATAACAGTTTGCAATTTTCTTTTTGGTTTAGGTTGCAGCATTACTTGAAGTTTTACCAAACCGACTAACAGCAGATGTGTTGGAGCAACTTCGGATCAGTAAACAAACTTTGGTATCATATACCATTGATTTTATTTTCTAACAATTCATTAGCCTCTGAATCCATGTCATCTAGTAAAATTTGAATACTTTCCATTCTTTATGTGGAAGGTTGAATTAGGTTCGAGGGCAGGAGCTCTGAGGCAGATGTTGCTTGATCTTCTAGAAGATCCCCATGAAATACGCCGCATATGTATCATGGGGCGCAATTGTACTTTAAATAGAGGAAACAATGACATGGAGTGTTCTGCTGCAATAGAGAAACAGATTGCTGAAGGTTTCTCATACATACATCATTTATTGTTCCTTGCTTGTAACTAGTATTGAGTGTTTTTTTTTTTTACAGTAGAGAATGATACAAAAAAATACTATTAACAACTGTGTATTTGACTTGATTTTTTTTTTCATTTTGTTTGATTTGCAGAAGAGGAGGAAGAAATTGAAATGCTCTTGGAAAATTATCTCCAAAGGTTGTGTGAATTACATCTCTATTGCACCCAAACTGATTTTGGCAATGATTGAAGACTGCTCCAATATTTTGTCAAGTTGTTCTTATACATGTTATAAAGTTCTCTTGCATTACTCCTTATGATGATGGTTTGAAGTTCTATTAATTTGTATTTCTTTCAGACTTCAACAAGGCAAGGTCCTTCTTCTACCAGATAAGCCACAGTGTCGCATGGGCAGTTAACAATATATTTTGAAGAATTTAGATATAAAATAGGGAAGCAAAATTTTGAATGAGGTGATACAAATTGAGAAGAGGATACAAAGGAGAACTTAAGGGAAGAAGATGCAAGAATATAATGAGAGTAATTGAAAAAGAAAAGGTGAAACTCCCCTTGAAAAGAATTAGGCTTGGAGGAGAAGATGAAAAGGAACCCCTCCTGACCCTCCTCTTCTCAACTCCAAAATTCAATTGGAGTTTGGATTAGCAGACACATGTTTAATTGTTATTGGGCCACTTGCCACTAGACATGTAGAGCTATCATCAATTGGTCTTATTGGGTAGGTTGTGGAAGAGAGAGAGAACAATATGATTATTGGACCTTAGTATCCAAATATATGATTATCTGCATGTGTGAGGCCAACTGACAAGATGCTTTTCCCTAATTTTCTTCTGGTGACAGCTTACAAAAATGTATCACTAAAGTTACTAATCAATGGGGCTACTGGTTATGAAAACTTTGCATTATAGTAGGAAATAGATTATTTATTTCAAGAGGCCTAATTAAGTACAATGTAAGGTTTCAACTCTTATAAATTGTTTCACTCTAAATGTCTCATATGGCATGAAAGGCACCGGCTAAGTTGTAGAGAGACGGTTATTCTCACCTTATATTATTAAAGAATTTCTAGCAAGTTGGTATCTATGTTTGCCTGTTATGCTTAAATGGCTGGCATGAAGCAGTTTTGAGCATTGATTATGTACTTAAATTGTATATTTCTAAAAACTTACAGCAATTCTTTTTGTAGATGTGAATCTTGTCATGGCCAAGCAGAAAGACTTCTTGATTCTGCAAAGGAGATGGAAGATTCTATTGCTGTCAACTTAAGGTTTGTAGAACTTCTTTTCTTGTTATTTTAATAATTTGTACTGGTCATGCAGGTTATTTCTATTAAATGTGGGAATCTAATGCTTACATTTGTCAATCAACTTAAGGATACAACAACTGAGTGATGTGGAGTTGATTGATGCCCCATGGCTCTATGAATTTTATTGTTTTCTGTGGCAACTTAAGGATGCTTACATTCATCTATGGATTTTTTTTTTGTTTTCTCTCCAGCTCTCGGAGGCTTGAGGTTAGCAGAGTGGAACTGCTTCTCCAGGTTGGGACATTTTGTGTAGCAGTTGGTGCTTTAGTAGCAGGTATTACCTTTTTCACCAAGACCTCTACAAATATCGACTTCCATGATCCTGTAGAATAGTATCCACTTGTCGGGTGTAGTTCTGATTCTGAAAATATGGTTAGTCATAACTCATAATAAATTATCCTACTTAATTTCTTTTTAAAGGACACGCAATTGTAATATGGCAAACCACGTGATTTATTCCATAGAGCCCCTCCAACTAGAACTCTTGTAGTGTAGATTTGTGAGATTTAGCTATAGAAGACAGATTAGTTTGTGGTACTGGAAAATTACTAATGGCATTCAAATCACCAGAACTCGATGAAATTTTCCTATGACTAAATTGCCTTTTGCTTAGAAATGCCTTCAATCTCTTCAATTGTCTAACAACTACAGAATCCATTGGATAAACCTCTGTCAATGTCTTGTGTTTAAGAGGGTCATCAAGATCTCAATCATTGTTTAATTCCTCATAAAGTTGCCAATTTCAACATTGTTGAGTGCAGCTTAATGCTTTTTTGGGTAGCCAGCTACTCAACATGTTCAAAATGGGATCTTATGATTCAAGCTACTTACGATTTTCAAAGTGAGATCTTATGATTACATTTATGGTAATGACTATTAATCCTCTCCTGATTGCAGGAATATTTGGGATGAATTTGAAGTCCTACCTTGAAGAGCATGTGGTATATTTTCTCGATTCTTTAATTATGTCTATTGATTATATGAACTACGTTATTGGCAAAGACCTGTTGCTAGATTCTTTCCCATAGCACTTGTTGTTCAGCTTCTAACTTTATATCAGTGGTATCACAATGGTGGTCATCCTAACTCTCTTATTTACTTTTTTCTCTTTCAACAGTTTGCATTTTGGCTAACAACAGGAGGAATAATTGTTGGTGCTGTAGCTGTATTTTTTATCGTGTATTCTTACCTTAAGGCAAGGAGAATATTATAACCTAGACAAGTGATCAATAGGTATATAAACCATTCTCTATCAACAAATGTGCTTGTTACATCTTGCACATTAATTTATGAACCACCAAAACCTAAATGGTGTAATTGTTTGCAGGTGATATACAGTTAGAGCACTCTTTTTCTCTTTTGTTGTATCATGTATGGAGGGAAGGAATAGGAACCGGAATATCACATTATGTGGTAAAAGTTGGTTTCTATTGTCATGCTGTGAATTATATCAACACTTCAGTATTCCGTGGTTCCTAGGCAAGTGGATATCCATTTAAATGCTCTTTTTTCATGGTTCTTGTAACATGTATCCTTGTAATTCTTTTCAGAGAGAATAAAACCAGAAAAAAGTATTCTTGTTAGTCAAGAGGTTCTGTGGTCATGTTAGCAAGGGTCCCAGATTGGTATAAACAATTTGATCAAAGAATTACATAGTGCGTTGTCATGGTATTAACAATTATATTGAATTTTTTGTATTTTCTATTTGATTTCATCAAACGTAGCATGAATGCCTGGGGGTGATCCCACTTTGGCATATCAATATCTCAGTCTATAAATGTTGATTTTGTGATGCTGCGGATTAATAATTGCTAGATGAAATTGTTTTCACGACTCCGGGTGTAAACTGGTATATTGAATGATTGACACGCGGAAAGAAAATATTTTATTTCTGCATATATATAGATACAAGGCTAACTGATTTGGACAAGTGGGAGGCCACGTGGCCTATTTACAAAGTTGTTGTAACCGCCTATGTTTTGGCTAACACCCCCTCTCAAGTTGGACGTGGGAAGCAACGCCCAACTTGGATAATAGCTCTTGAAATCGGTCTGCACTGAGAGCTTTTGTAAGAAGGTCAGCTAGTTGAAGGGCGCCAGAAATGTGGAAGGTCTGAATTTCCTTGTTCTGGATATGGTCGCGTACAAAGTGACAATCAATGTCACTGTGTTTCGTACCCTCATAAAAAACTGAATTGGCTGTAATGTGTATTGTGGCCTTGCTATCGCAATGGAGATGCATGGGTTCTAGAGGGGTAATGGTAAGATCAGCAAGGATTCTCTTAAGCCACAAAAGTTTGCAAGTAGCAACAACCATTGCCTGATATTTGGCTTCTGCAGAGGAGCGCGAAATTGTATGTTGTTTCTTGGTCTTCAAAGAAAGTGGTGAGTTGCCAAAAAAGGTGATATATCATGTGGTTGATCGCCGAGTGATTGGGTAGCTAGCCCAATCAGAGTTAGTAACCTTGAAGCTGGAAGTCATTGTTTGATGATAGAAATAGTCCATGTGTTGGGGTGGCCTTCAGGTATCGAACAACACAAAGGGCAGCATCCAAGTGTTCCTAACGGGGATCATTCATGAACTAACTAAGAGAGTGAACTGCAAAGCTTAATCGGGCTGGGTGACTGTAAGATAAACCAATCACCCACTAAGCGCCTAAACTGGGCAAGGTCAATGATGGGCGGACTAGAGTCATCATGGAAATGCTTCTGTTGTTCAATAGTAGTCGGGCTCGGTTTACAGTCAAGCATGCTTACTTTAGTAATGATGTCAAGGATATACTTATGTTGATTGAGGAAAATTCCATTAGTAGTTCTGGAGACTTCAATGCCCAATAAATAATGTAAGGGCCCGAGGTCCTTTGTTTTGAAGCAATTGTTTATGTGGCTTTTAAGAGAAGCAATGCGAGCTGGATCATTCTCGATGATGATCAGGCCATCCACATACACAGGGACAATAATGTATGAGTTTGACTGGTGTGATGTGAACAAGGAGTAGTCGACCATTGACTGCTGGAAATCAATGTCGAGGAGAATTTGTGTGAATTTTGCGAACCATTGTCGTAAAGCCTACTTAAGGCCATAGAGTGACTTATTTAACTTGCAAACATGATGATCATTATGGGTAAGAAGACCAAGAGGGGGCGTCATGTAGACTTCTCCATGGAGGTCTCCATGTAGAAAGGCATTGTTGACATCCAATTGGTGCAATTCCCAACACATTGTGGCAGCAACCACAAGTAAACAATGCATAGTCACCAATTTTGCAACAGGAGCAAAGGTATCATGATAATCCAATCATTCAACTTGAGTGTAGCCCTTTGCTACAAGACGTGCTTTGTAGCGATCTATGGACCCATCTGGCTTTAACTTCAATTTATAGACCCATTTGCAGCCTATGGCCCGTTTTCCATAAGGGAGATTTGTTAGGGTTCACGTGTTGTTATGATCCAATGCTACAAGCTCGTCAGCCATGGCTGCCTGCCAATGAGGGCATTTGACAGCTTGAGAATACGTTGTAGGTTCAGGGGGATGATGGGATGTGGGGGTGAGTAGGGCATGATGGGCTGTGAGAGATGTAGGAATGTCACACACAAAGTCTTGTAGATGTGATGGGAGATGGCGAGTGCGAGTGGGACGAGAATTAGTGGGGCCATCAGTAGAATGATTGTGATCAGGCCCATTATTTGTGTCTTGACATGCAATGGGACTGTTGTTGTTTATAATGGGTTGAGCAATGCTCTCATGCACATGGTGTTCATCACTATGTGAAGGAATATTACATCCATCATCAGGTTGAGGCATAGGAATTACAACAATTTCAGTTGAATCAATAGCCGGGGCAACAACAAATGGAAAAACATATTCATAAAAAACTACGTCCCATGATGTGAATATCTGTTTGGTGTCGAGGTTGAACACCTTGTTCCCTTTTTGATCGTGTGGATAGCCAATGAACACACATCGGGTTGAACGAGCAACAAATTTGTCATGGGGAACTGGTATGATTTGAGCATAACATAAGCAGCCAAACACCCTTAGGTAGTTGTAATTAGGGGGTCGAAGATGAAGTTTCTCATATGGAGACTTTCCTCCCAACAAGGGTGTCGGTGTGATGTTGATGAGATAGGTTGTTGTAAGAAGGCACTCACCCTAAAAGGAAACAGGTAGGAATGCTTAAAAGCGAAGAGCACGGGCAACTTCTTATAGGTGTCGATATTTGTGTTCGGCATCACCATTTTGTTGTGGTGTGTAAACACAAGACCGCTGTTGGATGATGCCTTTCTGTTGAAAAAAGTCTTGCAAGGGGCCAGACATGAATTCTAGGCCATTGTTAGATCGAACCTGCTGGATTGAAAATTTAAATTGTGTCTCCACCATTGCACAAAAAAAGTGAGGTCATGAAAAACTTCATATTTATGCCTCATGAGAAACGTCCAAGTACATCTAGTGTAATCATCTACTATAGTGAGAAAGAAATGAGCATTGGTGTGAGACGGGGTTTTATAACCACCCCGTACATCACAGTGTATCAATTGGAATGGATAAGTGGTATGAATATGACTAATTGGAAACAGACTCCTCATCTGCTTGGCACGGTGGCAAGCATCACAACATACATCAGAGGGTGAAAGGGAAAGTTCAGGCAGCAAAGACAAACGAAACTTGGAAGCGTGACCGAAGCACCTATGCCACAATTCATAGGATGATGCTGAGCTGGTAAGATGAACTAAGGTGGGAGGAGAAAAACAGATGTAGTAGAGACCATCTCGGAGTTCACCCGTTCCAATCGTAATCTTCGAGATTGGGTCCTGTATGGTGCAATGAGTAGAGAAGAAAGAAACGACACAGTATGACTGTTGTTGAGTCAATTTATTGACTAAAACTAATTTGCAAGTAAAAACTGGAACATGCAATACATCACAAAGAGAAAGATTAGAAGTGAAGGAAATTGTGCCATAGTGTGTAACAGAGGTAGTATCACCAGTGGACAAATGTACAAATTTTGGAATAGGTAAAGGAAAGTAATACGAGAATCGAGACATGTAGAGACAATGTGGTCGGATGCACCACTATCAGGTAACCATTCTACAGAAGAAATAGGGATGATTTTACTGGAAAGATTGGTCGAGATATTAGTTGAATCTTTATTGAGGAGAGAAATCAATTGATTGTAATGTTGTAAAGACAATCCAATAATAGGGGATTCTTGACCAAAAGTTGAAGGAGCAGTGGTCATTGTGTGTGAAGTTGCTTTATCTGATTTGACCCAATCTAGCAGAGGACGAGCATTCTTGTGAGATTTGGGAGGTCGATGGTTCCAACCAGGAGGATATCCATTGAGCTCATAACATTTGTTCCTTGTGTGACTTTGGCGTTTACAGTGGTCATAGTAGGGTCTATTCCGCCCAGAAGTACGAGTTTGAGGTTTGGAAGCAACATGGAAAGCTGTAGCATCAAGAGTCGATGATCCTCTCAAGGAAATAGTAAGTTGGTGCTGCTCCTCCTGGATGACTAAGGCATAGATTCGATTGAGAGGTGGTATGGCATCGGGTCCAAGAATTTATGAGCGAAGCATGTTGAAGGAATCTTTTAGTCCCATGAGGAATTGATGAATCTTCCTCCTCTCTCGGTCAGCCATAAAGAATTTTACAGCGCCACAGTTCAGACTACAAGTACATTTAGGTACTTTAACCTTGTAAAGTATGCGGTTACAAAGAGATCTCCCTACTGGAGCAAGGCAAGATCTCGCTCAAGTTGATAAAGGCGTGGCACTCTGGTCAAACCTTTCTTGCAACTCACGCCAGATTTCTGCTACAAATTCAATGAAGGCTATGCTGTGGTGGATTTCCTCTGCCACTGAATTTAGGATCCAAGAAATGACCATTGAGTTATGATGGTGCACAATCTGGCCGGTCCTAGCTGTCAATGACCTTGCCTCTGAACGGAGCTACAGGGAACCTGAAACGGAAAAGATGAGGAAACTCCGGGGGGAACTTGGTGAGATTGCTCCGAAGCTCAAGTTAGAATTCTTTCAAAGGCAAGATAAAACCAGATGGCGCAAAGTTCACATACATTGTTCTTGGGGGGTAGGGAGCCTTTTATAACCACCTCGTGCACTCACTTCTAAGCTTCTGTCAGGTCGGGTATGATTATCTCTGAGCTCCTGCCAGTTCGGGTGTCATCCCCTCTGCTGGACAGAACCGCCACTGCTCTCTTTGTCGGAGCCGTCTCTGCGACTGGCGATGACGGTGGCAGGTGGTGGTGGCAGGTGGCCGTTGAAGTGCGGCTGTCAAGCGTCAGATCCCAAGTCAGTCAGGTGCGCCGCCCTTGGATACGAACCTCCTCGGTGTCAGGTATGGTACGTTTGTTCAGTTCGGCGTCCTAGAGGCGAAGTGCTGGAGTGGTGAGTGAGGTGAAGTCTTGAGTTCGAATAGGGGAGTGTCCCGAACTGCCATGGGGCTGGCTAGTTCGGGTCATTGCCTTGTGTGAGGCTCAGAACCTAAGGGAGAGTTCGGGCTCTTTGTAGGGAGTTCAGGCTCCTAGTAGGGAGTTTGGGCTCCTAGTAAGGAGTTCAGACTACTGGTAGGGAGTTCGGACTGCTGGTTCCTCCTTTCGGTGCTTGCGCCTTAGACGCGTTGTTGTGCCGAACTGTTGCCTTTGCCACGTGTTGAGTGATTACGAGGTCGGGCCAAATCTTCCTTC